AAAAAAAAAAAAAAAAGATTAGCTGGGGGGTTGGGAATAATTATAAGAATATTTTTTAAAATTCATTAAAGGTAAGTATTGTGTTAAAATGTAAATTGAGGGTTTGAGGGATGTTGAAGGGTTATTATAGAAGATTATGAGATGGCAGATATACTAAACTTCTTCAGTTTTCACAAGAGAAGATGTGAATAGTATTACTGTTGGGAATTATGATAGATATACATGAATTTAATATTAGATGTAAAATTGGTATAAAAAAATGTGAAGTTTAAAAAATAATAAACTTCCTGGGCAGGGTAATATTTTTTCTAAGGCATTAAGAAAGAATTAAAGATTGCTTAAGTAAGTCTGGCTTTATATATACATATATATATGACTAGTGGGCAGGTGTCAAAATACTGGAAGCTAGTAAAGTACCTGTCTTTAAAGGAGGTGACAAGCATTGTATAGGTAGTTTTGCCTTCTTTGAAGATGTCTCTGCTCATACTGATGAGGGGAAGGGTGTGGATTTAACATACCTGGATTTTCAGAAGGCTTTTGTAAAGTTCTACATAAAAGATTAGTGAAGAAAATTATCTATGTGGGTGTGGGTGGGATAAGTTAGCTGAATGGATTTAAGGATGGTCAGAAGAGAGGAAGCAAAGGGTTGTAATAAATGGAATTGCAAGTGGGGCTATTTCATGGCTCTATGCTATGACTTGTTCTTTTTGAAATTAAAATAATATTGGTAAGAGAATGGTCAACAAATTGGTGAAGTTTTGGTATAGTCGGGTGTGAGGAAGATGCTGTTGGTTTAGAAAGGGACTTGGCAAATTGGGCAAATAAATGGTAGATGGCATTTAATTATGCTATGTTAAGGTAATATATGTGGGTTACCATAATTTAAGCTATAATTACCACCTTGATGGGAATAAACTAAATTGTGTATTATTGAAGAAAAGAAAGGGATTGGTGTTTTGTTCAAGCAGTCTTGCAAGCCTTCTAGGCAGTGTGATGTTGTTAGTGGGAAAGTAAATATAATTTAATTGTGTATCTACAGAAATATAGAATACAAGTCCAAAGAGGTTATTTCTTTTTACGGATCCCTGGTTAGGCCTAATATTGTAGTATTGGCTTTTTTTCCATAATGCCTATAAATGACTCAGAGGGCTACTAGAACGATTCTTGAGATGGAGGGGCTATCATATGAGGACGGCTTCAGGTCCTTTTCATTATTTTGTCTTGAGAAAAGAATAGTTAGAAAGGATCTGAAATGTTCAAAGAACTGAATATATAGGATTGTTGCATCTTTTTATAACGTAATGTTGTACAATATAACTGCCATTATTCTTACTAAATGATCCAAAAGAGCCTGCCCAATAATAGGACTTGTTAAAAACCATAACATTTAAGGACAACAATGGACCTGCAGGCCATCCCATGTCTTAAACTTAAAAAAAAACAACTGAAAACCCTCAAAGCTAGCCCTTATTATTTAAATACTTATCAAGTATTTTTTAAACTCCCTTAAATTTACTGAATTCATCACATGTGAAGGCAGTAAATTACAAAAGCCAACTACCTTGTTAGAAATATATGTATCTTAGCTGAAGATGACACCTTCCCTGCCAAAAGATGTATTTGTGTCCCATAGTCCTACCACTCTCCCCGTTAAATATAAAAATTAAAAAAAGATGAATCATCGGCATTGTAAGTTATAGTAACTATTTTAAACACTTCAATCAGATCTTTTCTAAATCTTCTCTTTTCAAGAGGAAACAATTTGAGAGATCTTAATTTGCCCTCATATGACAACTTTCCATCCCAGGTATCATCCTAATAGCATTCTTCTGAAACATTTCCAACAATTCAATGTCCTTAAGGTAAGGAGCCAAATACTGAATGTAGTATGTCATATGTGCCTAACAGGTAACTTTATTAGCAATATAATTATAAACTATAACATCTTGAGAATTGTATTCAGTATTTCTGTAGACACAACGTAAAATTCAATATACCGTACCATTAGCAACAGCACACTACTTGGTTAAGCTTAAAATACTAATTAACCAGAACACCAAGATCTTTTTTTTCTTCTATAACACTATTAAGGCTATTCTCATCAAAATTGTAATGATTTCTTATAATTCAAATTTTGATGACTCGGTGCATTACTTTGAATTTATTATAATTAAAAGCCATCTCCCATTTACTTGCCAACTCACTAAATGACCTGAAGTCTCTTGTAAAGAAAAAACCTTCTTCTCACATCTAGCAAGAACCAAGGTTTTAATATCATCAACAAATTTAAGCAGTTTGACAATTCCTTCATCTGTGTCATTGATGTAAATGAAAAAGGTCCTAACACTGAGCCACAAAGTACCCCATTTGTGACATTAATCCAGTGTGATTGAACTCTGCTTATGACACCTGTCTGCTTTCTTTCATCCAGCCACTTTTCTATTCAATGAGCCAATTTAAACCCCCCCCCCCAAACACACACACCTATATAGAGATAATGTTTTATATGGCATCTTATCAAGTGCTTTCTAAAATCTTGAATATACAAAATCCAAACCCTCACTTTTATATAGTAACTGCTTCAGATAATGCCAAAAAATTGATAAAGCAAGTTTTTATCTTAATGAAACTATTTTGACTGTCCAACAACATTTTAAACTTTGTCAAATGACTAAACAAAGCATCTTTTATCAGACTTTCAAAAACTTTTCTTACTGCTTACGTAAGGCTTAATAGGTTATAATTACTGGGACAATTTTTATCACCTTCCTTGGAAAGAGGAGTAACATTTGCAAGCCACTAATCCTCTGGCTCCCTTCCACTATTCAAGGATTTAAAAAAGGATATTAGCAAGTGGCTCACATATTCAATACTTAAACTTCCTTCAGAATCCTCTGTGTTTAATGGTAAGGGTGCTAGGAATAGTTGAAATTGTATGTAATTTATGAAATTTTGTGGTCAGTCTTCGGAATAGACTGCCTTTAAATGTGTTACATAACAGTATTTGTAGAGTTCAAGAAAAGGCTTGATGAGTATAAGGGCTGGATATAGACAGGTTGGTGTTTTAAGTTAATAGAACAGCTGTGATGGACCAAAAGTTACCTTGTCTTGGATTCTTAGATTTCAGTAAAGCTGGAATTGTTCCAGTTTTGAGTTTGTTTGTTTTTAGTCACAACAAAAATGGTAAAAGTATTAAAATATCTAAGTATCTTCAAACCTCACTTTGGATTTATGTATGACTTCTTTTAATTTTACTTAGAGAATTACTTGACAAAGATGGATCAAACTGTACATTGTTCTTTCCTCCCTCTGATCTGTTTTATTAATTTGTCATTTGACCAGCTGCAAAAAAAGAAATTAAGAATGTTATGACTAGCAATTTAGGTAGAGAGAGAGATAATTACTTCTTTTAATCTGTAATCAATATATATATATATTTGTAAATACACCATAAAATTATATTAGCTTCAGGGCACTGTTTTATTGGCTTTCTTGAATTAACAGTAATTTATATAAAAAAAAATCCCCAAATTTCCTTTTAACTCTTAATCTCATTTCAATAATGATAAAAAGGTTAGAAAGAAAAATAATTTTTATACTGTACTTTTTATTTTAACCATGTTTTACCTTTGTGGCTTCTTCAGAGTTAGTACCTTGTTTGATGTTGGAATATTCATTAAATTATATAATTGCTTGTAAAGTTCTATTTCTCGAGTCTGTCATAAAGTACATCTAACAATGTATATATTGTTTCACTATTGTTCTAATATTATAGTATCATTATAATACCATCTATACAGCTATAA